CATGGCAAAAACAATGGAATAAGTATGCTCAAGTGAGTATTTTCAGGAAAACAAATGGCAATGCGTCTCATCATAATATTTTTAAAAATTTGCTTTATGTTTTGATCATATTTTGTAAATAATCACTAATTATTGGCTTTTACTATGATGGTGTTATTCTCAATTAAAACTGTAAGAGATTTTCCACACAATGTACCATTCTTCAATGCATGTCAAACCCACTTAAATCTGGCATATGTCCTCAAGGCCATACTAATCATAATTAAGAACAGCAAGGGATAATTACAAATTTCCATGAATATGTTTCAGTTTGGTTAGGGGATTAGATTGATATATTTGCCTCTGCCCATTCAGCCATTTCCCTAAAATTCTCCTAATATTTTATTTCCATTAATTTTCTAAATATTCAGACTCAAGTACACAAGTCAAAATATTTTGAAAGTCAGTTGAAATTCAGTACACAGAACAGATTCTCTAAATAAAATTATGCCAGGAGGAGGTCACTAACCTTACCTTCCTCAGAGCCTGCCACATATCCCAAGAGCCTTAGTCATAGCTCATAGTTTCAAAACAGAAGTTCTATAAGACCATAATTAGTGGAATCACCTGAGGCTCCTACATATTTTAACTATTTAATAAGTCACAGATTAGGGTTCAGGTTATAACCCCAGGGAATTGAGGACACTGGCTCCTCTATTTCCTGAGCTGCCAGGTTTGTTTGGCCAATTAATGAGTGTCTAATCTATCTATACCTTTCTGGAGGATCATGTGTGAGAACCACTCACTTCATATATTTCCATACAACAATATTCAATATTGGAAGCGTAATTAAGTAAAACAATTACTCCATGACTTCGTATGACTATTGGAGAGAAGATCTTTATACCTCTTGTTGAGGATTTGAGGATCATTCCATGTAACCAGTTGGAGAGACACGCAGGACCAAGCCAGAGTTGGGAGGAGGCGTTCTTGAAACTGCTTCCATCAAAAGCATGCAGATTTCAGGTAATGTTTTCAACTCTGACTGTGACTTCCAAAGTGAAAAAAATATTGCTCACCATTCCTGTAACAGAACTGAAAAAATACTGTTTCTCATGAACATAGAGACTATCCTACTCAAGATAAGATCCCACTGTGAAAAGACCAGAACACTGGGAATCTTCTGAGACATAAAAGTCCATAGTGGACTAATGTCTGCTATGACTGCTCTGAAGTCTCTCTCTCTCTCTCTCTCGTTCTCTTCTTCTTCCATCCTTGTTTTCTTGTCTTCTCATTTAGTTTACGTCTGTGGAACACTGAACTATCTGGCCTGTGAATCAGATTCTTTATACAGTGAGATCTTTGTGTTTTCTTACTCTAAGAATCTATGTGGGAAGATCTCTCTAGCCTCAAAGTAGTGGGCTCAGGAGTTTCTTGCCTTCTGGGTTCAAACTGCAGTGGTCTAGGCTCTGGCAGAGCAATGAAATCTGAGAAGAGCGAATCGGAGAATAAACAAGAGTGAGGGAAAGAGTCCAGTGGAGTGAATAGTTCACAGTACAGCATACACCAGAGCAGGGCAAAAAAGGTAGAATAGTGTTAACATCAAGAAAATACTCTTCTTTTAGGATGTCATAGAACATATATTAAATAAGTTCATTTTATTGTCACTATTAATTCTCCTTGTCCCTAACAAATACTGATAGTATGAAACACATAGACAGGAATCTTAAAGATTACAAGGGAATATCTAAATGCAAAACATTTTTGTTGACATATCTCCTATTTTTAACCATTTTCTGCAGTTCAAGTGTTATTAACACATCAGAGTCTTTATCCCACTTTATGTTAGGGATCTAAACTTACCCTACCCCGTTCCGCTTCACCCCATCCCACTCACATTTGAACAGACAGTCTCATATCTAATACTGTAATTAAACAATGGATACCCCTCTCTTTCTATATCCAAAGACCTGTCAATACAAGAGTTTGTGAAATTATTTAACATTATTAAATTTAATATATGTGAGGCTTACAAGTTTTTATGAAATTATAGTGAATGTTATGCTGAGTACCATACAATGAAAGACAGGACCATAAAAACACAAAGGTGTGTCTCATCCACTTTAATCACTAGGGCTGGCACTGTGTGACTTCTGTCTGTTCCCCAAAGTTAAATTGATCAAGAAAAGTAAATGTTTTGAATTCATAGAGAACATCAAGGCAGACAAATCAATGCAATTAAAGACATGCATGAAAAAGGACTTTTATAAATGCTTCAGAAGGTAGTAAGAATGTGAGGGAGATATATTTTGATACGAAGAGATATATTTTGAAGAATATTAATGAAAATATTTTTCACTGTGATAAATTTTAAAAATCAATCCTCATATATCTCTTTCTCCAAGGAATTATCCCCAGATATCATCTCTTGGATAATGTCATATACCAAGCTGCCTGAGCTCAAATCTCAGGTTTAACATCATCTGTGACCTTGGAAAAGTCATGTAGCTTTCTGTGTCTCAGTGTCTCATTTCTAAAAATATCTTTCAGGACTCTTTACAAACAAATTTGGTCACAATAGTCAAAATGGCTCCTGCCACCCTGTTGAGTCATATAGACCCTCATCCCAATTCTAAAATTTTTAGGATTTGTTGTCCGTAAGCAACATCATTTCAACTTCTCCTGCATACACTGGCATGGTCTTAGGTACAGAAGTAGAATACAGATAGACAGTGTGGCCAATTATGCCCTCCAAGTAAATGTAGAATGACTGGAGCACTTATCTGCCTCATTCATTCCAAAAATTCAAATATTTGAAGAAATTTTCAAATTTTAGAAAAGAATAATCAAATTTAATTATCTTTGTTTTATGTGACTGTTAGGTAGCTTTTTTTTTCCCCAGTACCAGGGATCAAACTTACGACTGCCTGTTTGCAAGGCAGGTGCTTATGCTGCTGAGCTAAATCCCCAGCCCCTGACTGTTAGGTAGCTAATGAAGATAGTAAGGAAAACATGGGCTGAAAGGACTTCTCAGATTCAAAGATGAAGGTGACAAAGACACCACAAAACATTTTCTCCAGAAAGTTGCTCTTGTCATTTGCTGAATCAGAGATAATTTGGGTCACTTTAGACTGGAGATTAACCTCCTGGACAAATTAATCTGGATTTGGTTTCTAAGTGAGACTCATCATCTGAGAGTTCCTGTGAGTGTTTAATCCTAATGATAAAGAAAATATTTGAAAAGACAAGGCCTGGAAAATGGGCTGATTTACCATTGTGATTCCTGTGTCTGACTCTTGGCATCAGGACAAAACTAAAAAATACAGGGACACTAGGAACTCAAATTGATCAAAAGACTGTGACATTACCAAGCAAGGCATGAGCTTTCAAACCTAAGTGAATGGTTCTAGATGAAGTTTCAAACTGGAGATAAAAGTTGGGCATTGTGGTGCAAAAGTGTAATCCTAGCACTAGGAATTCTGAGACAGGAGAAACATTGCACATTTGAGTCCAGCCAGGGCTACATAGTTCTTAGCCATCCTGAACTACATAGAGAGACAATGTTTTAAAAAAGAAAAGCAGAAACCAAAAAAGAAACTTGAAAGTAAAGGACAATTTCTAAAGAAAAAAATGATTACAAGAAAAGAGTAATAAAATCTAGAAGGAAAAAAAAGTATACACATACAAGATGTGATTGAAAAATACAATGGACATTTATTTTTTTCATTTATTACAATAAAAGATACATTGCCATTAATCCCTCCTAAATACTTTTCCTCACTTTGCACACACTTTTTCCACCTCTTTTGCCACCTTCTGAAAAAGTTTGGGAGGTCTTCTGTAAGTGGCTTTACTTGCGCGGTGGTGGCAGACTCCATGTCCTGAATGGATTCAAAACATTTACCTTTCATGGTCACTTTGACTTTGGGAAAAGGTCAAAAGTTGCACAGCTGTGCTTGCTTTGGCAGCACAGATGTTATGGAGTTGTATGGGCCAGAGCTGGTAAACAAGATTGGCAAAAGTATAGTGTTTGTGAACCGCTCTCCCACTTGGCAGCAGCATTTGTTGTATTTTAAACACACTGCATAGAGAGTTACTTGACAGAAATTGCAGTGATCAATTGATTAGTGCAGTATAATAAAAATTGTTGCAAATTTTTAATTTTTAAACTTTTTACAATAAAAAGCACATTGCCATTAATCCCCCTCTCTTCAAACGTACCTATCCCAATCTTCTTGACAATGCGTATATTATTACAATAAAGATTTTTAAAATTTTATTGTATCTTTCAATTACCCTTCCATGCTAATGTAAGTACATGTAAAAAAGCCTGAGAAAATAGAATCAAGAAGTGTTATACGTACAAACTCTTCATGATGGATGTAATTATTATGTACTGAAAATATGTACTTACAAAAATTTAAAAATTTTAAATAATAAAATATTTCATGATTAAAAATTTTAAATACAGAACATGGATGTTTTATAAAAAAGATAAAAGATATAATTGGGCAGTTTCAAATCTTAGAAATGTTTAAAAATGGAAGAATAGATAAGGAACAGAGAAAAAAACCCAAATAGAAAAGATAATATAAAAACTGGGGTGAGGATACAGTTCAGTGGCATAGCGCCTGCCTGGCAAGCAGAAGGTCCTGAGTTTGATTACTGATACAAACAGACAAATGAAGAGAGAATATAAAAATTCAGAACAAACATGAAATAAGGCCATATCAAGTCAAGCAAATCATGCACTTAATAAAGCTAACAAAACATTGTTCCATTGAAGAGGATCAGATAAATGAGTCATGGGAAAGGTGTGGGCAAATTAATAAACTCCCTCTGCAATCTTTCAAGTGTAATAAGAGTCCATGGAAATACAGTGAGTTTTTGAAGGTCTGTCCTAAATAAAGCCAAGTAAGAGTGTGTATATGTAAATGGAAACCATATCTCTACAATTGGGTGTAGGAAAGAGAAGCTTCCATTCTAACTCTATATGCATTTCTAGGAAACATCCTTTGTAAATGGCCGTGAGGAATCACAGCACCATCACTGAATTTATTCTTCTTGGGCTGTCTGCTGACCCCCATATCCAGGCACTGTTGTTTATGTTGTTCCTGATGATTTACCTCCTGACAGTGCTGGGGAACCTGACCATGTTGCTGGTGATCAGGGCTGATTTCCTCATTCACACTCCCATGTACTTCTTCTTGAGTAATCTATCATTTGTGGATCTCTGTTTTTCTTCAGTCACTGTGCCCAAGATGCTAGAGAACCTCCTGTCTGAGAAGAAAACCATCTCAATAGAAGGGTGCCTGACTCAGGTCTTCTTTGTGCTTGTCACCGCAGGGACTGAAACCTTTCTCCTTTCAATGATGGCCTATGACCGCTATGCTGCCATCTGCCATCCACTGCTCTATCATCAGATAATGAGCAAGCAAATGTGTTTGAGTCTGGTATGGGTTTCATGGGGCCTGGGTTTTCTGGATGCAATCATCAATGTTCTTCCAGCTGTAACGATGAACTTCTGTGAAGCCCACGCCATTCCACACTATAGCTGTGAGCTGCCCTCCCTCTTTCCTTTGTCCTGCTCTGATGTCTCCACCAATGTGACTGTTATGGTCTGCTCTACACTCCTGCATGGCTTTGGCACATTCTTCCTGATCTTCTTCTCCTACATCCACATTGTCTCCACCATTTTGAGCATCAGGTCTACCACAGGCAAAAGCAAAGCCTTCTCTACCTGCTCGTCTCATATCACTGCAGTGAGTTTTTTCTATGGCTCTGCTTTCCTCCGTTATCTCATTCCAAGCTCGGGTTCACTTCTTGAGTTGATCTTCTCCATACAATATGGCGTGGTCACTCCCTTGGTGAATCCCCTCATCTATAGCCTAAAAAACAAAGAAGTAAAGTCAGCTGTGAGAAGAACATGGGAAAAATGTTTACAACGACATATATATCAGGCAAGAGATGATTAATTAAGGAAATCTACATGTTTTAAAAGACCTGGTAAAATGGCAGGTATAAATTCTGAGAATGCTAGCCTGTCTATTTGACCTATCTAAATTTCAACCTTACCCTAATCTTGTTTGAGGATAGGATGCCCATAGAACAGGGGTCCCTATTCAGGTGATCAAAACTGGTGGTATTTAGGTTACTGCAAGAGTAACTTCTAACTTCCTTATAATTCCATCTGTGTGTTAAGTAACACCCTACCCCCATCATAACAGTTGACAATTGCTATGATAATAATCAGAAAGAGTGGTATTGAAAAGGGTGGTATCAAAATTTCTGTAAAACCTCTACCTAAATAAATATTCCTCCCTTTTATAAATTCATCAGGACTAGGGATAATGCTCAGTAGCACAGCACCTGCCTTGCAAGCAGGTCCTGAGTTTGACTCCTGGCACAAAATAAAAGAATAAATTCATCCTTCCCCTTTGCTTGTTTTACTCTGTATGTATAACCTCCTAATTCTCAATAGGTTAAGAAGCTGATTTGTTATTTTTAGCCCTCATTTCTCCAGTTTTTGGCAAAACATAAAATCTTCTTCACTGTTCCACTGATGTCTGGTGTTATTATTGGTTGCACAATTCCAAAAGATATCAATTTGGCAACAAAAGATACTATAGAAAAGCTTAAGAGGTACAAAGATACTTGAGGGTGGAGTGACAGTGGAAAAGGAGGATTAAGTCCTGCTCAAAGCTAATTAATGGAACAGATTGCCAACTTGACTCAAAATTTTGTCTGATCATAATTTTTTGGTACTAAGTAAAAAACACATAGGTATTGACTTGTTTTTGAAATTTAATATGTAAAAAACACTGCAAGATTCTCTCTCTCTGTCTCTGTCTCTCTCTCTCTTGTATGTGTAAACAACAGATCCTAGGAAAAGAAAAGTTATAGAGCTGGAGTCTGTGGAAGACTCATAGCTTTGACTGAGGAGCTTGTGCAGACAGATAAAAGTGCTAAACTTTCTGAATGGCATAATCATCAGTTGAATCATTTGGATGATATGGGGACTGAAGGAAATAATAGCCCTCTCTGAAAACTCACCTCCTTTTAGTGTTCTTTTTTCCATTTCACATTAGAAAATGCAATGGTTTGCAACCACTGGATCTCAGGACATATCCCAAAATATGACTGCAAGAGGTCACAATAGATCATGCCAAATACATCTCTTTGGCATATGGATTATTTCAAGATGGTTGTTTTAACAAACTTCGATCACTGCAGTAGGACTGAAAAGCTATTATTTTATAAGAAAAATTTAAAATTAAAGTAGAAACTTTTATAGTAAAGTTATCTGTACCAAGAAACAACTATTTTATGACTACTTTTATCACCTGAGTCTTTTATTTGCCTAACAAGAGAGCCTTTTTTCACTGTCATTTTTTTCCCTTAGCCCTTTTACAATTTGTCTCCACTAGCCAAAAAAGTCTCAAGCTTCCCTTGCCTTCTGAAGTTCAAAATACTAGATAAAGCTTCAAACTTCTGGCCTTTCTGTGAGTCTAATATATTTTTGGAACCCCAGTGCATATGTACATAATTAATATTGTTTTCCTCTTGCGGTAATCTGTCTTATATCAAAGTAATTTATAGTTCAGTTAAAGAACTCATGAAGGTAGAAGGAAGCCATTTTATCACCTCTACAATGGTTTTTGGGTAATTTCTTTTTCATGTATTTTAATGTAGATTTAGGAAATATGCAGTATTTATTATATGATTCACAAAATTTATATTTTTTGGAAATTTTGCTGAGTTGAATATATTTTAAAGTGTATTTTCTTTTTTAAAATTTTATTTTGAAAGTAGTAAAAAGCAACAGCACAAGACAGAACAAAGCCAATCGAGACAATGCAGTGAAATTGGTACAGAATTTCACAATAGGATACTGGGATGGTAGTAATAGGTACTATGGTATATCTTGTCAACTTCACAATAGTTTTCCAGTCAATTAGGTATGGCAAAATCAGACCAAAACCAGAACATTATAAAACCAATTGAGAGTACTGAATAGAGCAAAACAAAACAAAACAAAACAAAACAGTGAAAACAACCTTGCCTTCAAACAGAAGATGGAAGGAAATCCCCCATATTTGCTATACTGCATATGGTCATCCTCCCAAGAGATGCTGAGACAGCTATCCCCAGTAGCTATGAGAGGGAGGAGAAAGGGGAAGGGTGTTTGATGTTCAGCCCACATGCTAGTAGGCTCACAGGAACCAATGGTTCTCCTCCTGGCCCTTGCCAGAGGCATTTACCAAGAAGGCGAGCAAATAAATGCCTGGGTCCCACCAGGGCTGGATCTCAGGAGCGTTGGTTCGCCTCCTGTTAAAGTGTATCTTCTATGCAGCAATGAGAATAATGAATGTATATAATTAATACATTAAATATTATAAATTTTGCTTTTTATATGTAAAACATACCATATATTAAACCATGTGCTAATTAGAAATATTTTTATTTCCAATTTTAGAGTCATAGGAATAGAGCATACATCTTAAAGAAAAGATATTAAAATAATTTGCCACCCATATTAATGTTTTCTTCTAATGCCTCTTATATATGAAGATTTCAATGTAATCCATTAATTTAGAAGTTTCAACTTTGTAGTTTAAAAGCATAAAACAGATTTATTTCCTTTTTCAGTCACTGCATTCAACTAGGATATATAATCCCTATTATCTGTTTCATAAAATTCTTAAAGTTCATATCACTTTGTTTAATAAATGTATATTCTATTTTAAATCATGTACTCAAAACTCAGTTTATGTTTTACTTCTCTCATTCCCTAATTCAGATTTGAGCTGATATTGTGCTGTTTTGAAGAGGTCTAATCTGGCTCAAAACATCACCTCTGCCACATCCTAAAAGGCCCAGCTTCTTGGGGGACAAAACTAAAGAACAGGGAGGGAACAAGTGAATTTGTGAAATTAGCCCTGTCATAACTTTCTCAATATTAGTTACCACTCATTTTGTCATTAGCAATGGCTGGCCAAAAAATATGCTCTCTGGGTGGCAGTTGTAGAAATATACCTCTGGTGGAGGCAGGGGAGTACAGGAAAATCCTGCACATTCTCCTCACTCCATAGCTGTTCCCTGACCTATTAGACTTGGCTTCTGTCCATTATCTTTACTCTGGTACCGCAGTATATCAGTTTTTGTTGCAGAAGAAACCTTCCCTGCTCCTTGGATGGGGCACTGTGAGACAGGACAATCTCAGATTTCTACAAAGATCACCAAAGAACTACTACATCCTTGACATGTAAGCAGGCAGGCTGTGTTCCCACTCTCCTTAATGCCCTGCTTGATTTTACAGTTCTCCTTTTAGCTCAAATAGTCATAGATGAAAGAAATGCAAGACTAATGCCAGACATGGTAGTGCAGTCCTACAATTCTAGCTACTTGGGAGGCTAAGGTAGGAGGATCACAAATTGGAGTTCAACTTGGGCAAATTAGTGTTTAGTGAAACTGTTACAAAATAAAAAAACACCCTTAAAAGGGAGGTGTAGCTCAGTGCCTAAATTATGAATTAAATCTCCAGTATCAAGAGGAAAAAAAAAGATTAGAGTCTACTGTAAAAGCAAGAATCTACCAGGGGAATGAGATTTCAGTTTCTTGAGCTTGAAAACATTCTTTATTTTTATGATTGTTTCTCTTAGGGCCCTATTTATTTGGATTCTACAAAAGGAAATAACTCTTCTTTACTTCTAAAGGAAGAAATGACTTTCTAGCACATACTAAATTCTGCATAAGGCCAGAGAAGTGAACATCCTCCCCATTTGTTCCAGTTCCAAACTTCTTATAAAGGCAGGAAAGATGAAGTTTGCTACTAACTAGTGAAAGCATTATTATAAGCTGCTGTTAGATAGATATTAATATATAGCCCCTTCCCTGCACCTGAAAGACTGCAGCAGCTGAGGGGAGCCTCATTAACCTCTTCCACTACCTGTAGTATCCTGGTGGGCTTCTGGGAGTATTGGCAATCCCTCTCCCCACCCAAGGACCTTGATGGGCTGGTAAGAGCATGGGGAGACCCCTCCCCAGCAGAGGACCTCAGTAGATCAGCAGGAGCCTTGGCAAGCCCTCCTTCCAACCAGAGGACCTTAGTGAACCAGTGAGAGTGCAGGTGAGTCCTCCTGCCATACAGAAAACCCTGGGTGGGCTGGCAAGTGTGCCAGTGAGGCCTTCATTTACCCAGAGGAACCCAGCTGGGTCTGTGAGACCTCTGTGACACAGTAGTGTCTTGGCTGGGGTGCACACCAAGAACAGCTGTGTCAAGTGGCCTGAAACAGTCTGAAACTGCAGTGACAATAAAGGCTAAGCATTGGTTTACATCAATACTCCTAGGCTAGCTAGCCTAGGAAGAATATAGGACTCACCCAACTGGCCCCACGGGAGGACTTCAGGTGACTGGCCCCTCTCCTATGCTGCAGGCCCCAGCAGTTGAGTGAATGTCAGCTACACAGGAGGACCCTAAGACACATGTGCCAGATAGTTGAGACTAGTGGAATTGAAAAGGCTAAAATATTAACCCAAGAGGTGAAAATGACAAAATGAAAAAGCAAACTATAATCTTAAGCATGAAGCCTGTCTGAAACAAGTACAGGACACATAAAAAAAGAGGACATTGGAAGTTACACACTGAAATTTCTGAAAAGATAGCAAGTGCAATCATCAAGTCCATAAGGCTAGAGAAGAAATCAGATTAGAAATAATTTCTCAGGTAAAGAAAGAAAGGGCATTAATGAAAGAGTTGCTTAGCATGGCTAGAGAAGACATAGATAAAAAGTACAGGAACATGGGAAAATGATGGGAATACTGAATGAATACTATAGGAAAGAAATAGAATGCATGAAACATATTCAAAGATATATCCAGGAAATTAAAAATTTCATTGAAAGCTGGCAAAACCAGTTGAACAAAACTGAAGATAGACTGTCAGACTTTGAAGACAGTATCACAGCTAGCAATC